TAATTGTAGATTTAATACTGGCTCATAGAGTTATCCAAAAGATTACATGCATTTACCTTGCCTAAAAATACATCGTTTTCTGTGAATTTCCCTCTTGGTGTTAATATCGATACTTGCTACTGCATAGTTTATTTATTAGGTATGGCCACTTAAAAATTAGAGCTACTTTTATTACAACTGGAAAAATAACAAGGCACTGTAATGTCTGACAACTTTTTTCATGGTAAACATTATCCATCTTACATTCAAATGTGTGTCTGTGTGTGTGTGTGTGTGTGTGTGTGTGTGTGTTTGCTTTGCTCTTTGTAATACATTTCAAAAATCAGTAAGTTACTAATAGCAATAGGTGTTAACCATATCCATTAGGTCCACAAACAAAATTAGGACATGCTTTTCTTTTCCTAAGCTTTCTTATTTCACCCCACTGCTATATCCATCATTATGTGAAGAAAATATGTCTGCCAAGTACACATTCAGAATCCCTCTGCTAACAGATACTTGTGAAAATAAAGCTTCTGAGAAGACATAAAGAGAAGAAACATGTGATCTAAATGCCATAAAGATCCCAATATGATCTTCACTAGTCTTGAAACCTGGCTGCCTTTTGTGTCTTTGATCCTGGATGTATAGACTTGTTCTGAATTACAGGCCTAATAGGGAACTATTTGCATGATTTTCTTTGTGGCTTTTTAGTGTTATTTCTAATAGAAAATCACCAGAAAACTGACTTAACCACTTTTGAACCATGAAAGAGGTTCAAAAGGTTGTTGGTTCCAAGAACACTAAAGTTTAACATGTAAGAATCATTTCAATTTACTTTTAAAATTCATTTGTTTTACTAAATACTTCTAAAAAGAATTTGGAGAAACAAATGGTGAAAATGCACATATAATAGAATTTAATAAAACAAAATATCAAGGAAGAGAAAATAATTGTCACAAAAGCCCAGGCTTAAATGCTTTGAGGCAGTGAAATTCAGACAAATACTTTTACTGATGCAATTTTATTAGAAGAAACAGATTTTTCTTGTTATTATAGTCTAAGGTTGATTTATCACATAATATAGAAAGTTTACTAAGCGAGATGAGTATACAATAAGGTAAAAATGTATTCAATTATTTTACTAAAGTTACATAAAGATTTTCCATTTGAATGTGTTATCTCATTTAACATTAAAACACAAATTAAAGAATATAGTCATATAAAGAGATAAATTATTATAATTACCAGAGATAAAGATCTCTGGGAATATAGAAATAGTGGTTTTCAAAAGTCTAAATAATTTATCTATGTAAAGTCCCATATCTCAAGTGCCGATTCACATCTTGGATTTTAAAGATATATATACGGTAATTTTATTTTATTACATGCTGAGGGATTTAATATTATTGATTGAAAACATATTAATACACTTTGTGATTGTGTTTTCTTCCCAGAAAATTATAAAACTCAAAATGTTTCTCTTGAGGAAAAGGAGCATTGTGTTTTCTCCACACCTGTCTGAAAGAGCCTATGCAGGCAGAACCACAGTGTGTCCAAAAGGCACTCACCATGCACATTTGCTTAGGGCTGAATAGTCTCATTGATACCACACTTCCACATGTTAGTCATAAAGGAGATAATATAAACTCCTGCCTTGGTCATAAAAGAAACTTAGCCTTTGTTCCTTGCCTCATTGACCTGATGTGAAAATGTATCTAAAATTTCCAAGGAAAATTTTTTAAAGATGAATTTGATAACCTGACTACAGGAAATAATTTAGAATCTTTATTTTGGAACCCCAGGCATTCTTAGAGGCAGGATCTAAATGATATGGAAGATTCCTCTCAAGCCTCCTAATATCTTAGCCAGCTACAAAATTTCAATGTTCACCATCTACTATAAAACTTCTCAGCTAAGTTTTTCCACTTGATGGATGACTTTTACTTTCTGAAATTTAGGATGATTGTGCTGATGAACAACTGGTTTTAATTAAATTTTGAAAATTAAATTAAAAAAAAACTCTTGCTCTCATATCTTTCAGGTCACTTATATGTTTAGAATGAGTCATTCCTGAGATCTGTGTCTTTCATTTCAATTTCCCAGGCTGTTACTACCTCCTTTACAGTATCCATCGCCTGCCTGTACCACATTTATCTAGATATATCCTCAATGATATGTCATGTGAAAGCAGATAAGTTTTTCTCCCATATCTGAGCTTTCAAGCACCATGGACTCAGAAGTAGACACTTGTAGTCAATCAGTGGAGGTCAGGGAATTAGCATCAAAGCTGAACCTTCAACTACAGGAGAAATTATCCTGTATATAGAAATTTGAAACTATGTCAATGAGCCACATATTTTTTTAAATGCTGGATTAATCTGTCTTTTTTTTTTTTTTTTTTTTTTTGAGACGGAGTCTCACTCTATAGCCCAAGCTGGAGTGCAGTGGCGCAATCTCAGCTCACTGCAACCTCTGCCTCCAGGGCTCAAGTGATTCTCATGTCTCAGCCTTCCAAGTGGCTGGGACTACAGGTGCGTGCCACCATGCCTGGCTAATTTTTTGTATTTTAGTAGAGACAGGGTTTCACCATGTTGCCCAGGATGGTCTCAAACACCTGAACTCAGGCAATCTGCTGGGATTATAGGAGTGACCCATGGTGCCCAGCCAAATATGTCTTAATGACTGAAATTTTAAATGAATTACTTTTAAACAGCCAAGATACTATTTTCATAAAATCTTTGTTAAGCTTATAACTGGCCCCACCAGCACACATAAAACACACTTGCATAGATTAGCCTGTCAAGTAGATTGTTCCAGTGTGCAAGGCCCCTAGGAAGTGGGTGTAGTTACAAGTATATATTAAGAAGGAAAGGTCTGGTACATGGGTCTCTGAAAAGTCAGGCTTGAGAAAGATGTCTCAATGTAATATGCCAGACAACTCAGGGAAACCCTAAGAGAACAAGGTGCCTAAGAAAGGCTGACAAGAAAACGAAGTGAGGCTTGGGATAAGAACCAATGAGTCAAAAGCAAGCTTAACCCACTCCCACCTCCCCTAACAGTACAACTAGCTGTGTCATGGAAATCAGCTCCAAAGTCTGATCAGAAAGTCTGTGTCATAGAAATCAGCCCCAGACTTTCTCTGTGCAATAAAGCCTAGTTATTCTAATCTTTTAAGATATTCTCCATCTCCCTTTTCCGTCATCACAATCATACCCTGGTAAAAGCAATGCCAACTGTCGATGTGCCAGATGACCTATAAATCCTGCTCCCACATATAGATAGCTTCAATCTGTTTTCATCAAAGACCCATTTCTATATTTAATTGCCTAGGTGAAAGTATGAGAGTACCAGCATCATGAAGTAATCATTTGAATTTAACAAATTTTATTCTAATTATCTGGGCAAAGAATCTCAGCTTCCACAAAGTTTTATTCTTTATTTAACTAAGCACAGAAGTGCAGTTCAGTTGTAATCCACCTGCCCATAGCACCTAAGCATATAATTAATAAATTAGGAAGAAATTAGGATTTGGCATAACTCATTGGTGAAAACCACCTGACTCAATACCAACAGCTCTCCAAAGGGCTAATACAATAACGTTGATGGCTAGTTGGATCTGATTTTATCCAACACAACCTTGCCTTTCCAAACTGCTGTGGGTGCCCTCCGTGAGTTGTGCCTCACTGGTGTTGAATTTAGAATCATCTGTGCAGCTATCATGCCTTTTTGAAGTCACACATGCACTTGGGAAAATATAGATATTACATACAATTGGAAGAACTTTTTAGGAAATATGGTTGGTGAATATATTTTTGGAGTCATTTTAGATTTTTGGTTATTTACCAACATCATTGCATAAGACTTATGAAAATATATTTAAGTAGATGAGGATTATGACATTAAATCCATATATACAAATTTAAATATAATTTATGTTCAAAGGGAGGCTTTAAAACAATTCAAGCTAACATCTTGTTTTAAGCATTACAAAAGTATAATGTTGCTGTTAATAATGCAGTAGTAATGTTTAATCAGTACATAAAAATAGCCACATTTTGTATCATTATATTCCTTGAGGTCTACTCATTCATTATATAAAAACCACTGAGAAATTTTACCCATAGCTTCTATCATCCTATATTTACTTCCAGACCAAAAACAGTGGTTGCAACTTAACTTTAACATAGCTAACATATAGTATCTCTGCTTTGTTTAGAATATTATTTTGTGGAAAGAACAAAACTGATGGATAATTGACTTTCTAAAAAATCCGATTTAAGGGGCAAAAATAGTGTTTAATTTCTAGATACTCTTAAATTATTAATTTTTGATTCTAAATTCTAAAGTACATACTAAGTAACTAAAGAATCCAGAATTAAAGAGTCAGTGAAGATAAGGCTGCTTTCTTAGAGAAAGGGTGTCCTTCCCTCCAAAATTAAGCTTTAGCTCAATCCATTATACTGTATCTACATTTAGCCTGGTCATAGATTCCACCACAGTGTAAAATTTTTCCTACTGCCCTATTGTTTCTTTAACAACTAGTCTGATATTCCCGAACGAGCTGCAAAATGTGCACTCTGGTAAAGTAGCTAACAAGTTATCTCCCGGCACTTAACTCCAGAAAGGTGTGGTATTCACAGCACTGAAAAACTGCCCTTGCCTGTAATCAGTTGAAAGAACTAAGCACAACGTTTCCCATTTAGAAGGCTGTGCAACAGCCCACAGAAACAGCAAGAGATTGCATAATGTTTCCAAAGTTTTTCCATTGCTATGTCATTTATGTGCTTGAATAGTTAAGATGTTTTTAAAATGTATTTTCAAGAGTTGATAAGAGTTTGTGCATGAAATTTCAGAAAATAGAAAATTAAAAAGACTCCTTCGGTATGCGTAAAGTTAAACTTTAAGCATTCTTGATTGCTCTGCTGTAGAATAGTGGCAGAATCCCCAAATTAAGGATGAAGGAGAGAAACTACGGTTCCTGACAGCTCTAGAGCCACCTGGGATGTAGCATTACTTACCTAAAGATGGGTCTTTGGAGATGTTTCTTCCTGATTGTGACATGGTCATCCATTTAAAGGTGAAGGTTTAACTTCTTCCTGGAAACCACTCCAGAAACTCCAGAGGGGAAATGTGGAAGCTTATCCTGTTCTATTGTGCTGCAAGGAGGCCAGAAAGAAAAGGTAGTTTCCTCTTTCTCTTTTGGGGTGCTGGGAGAAAACTTCCCTGCTCTCTGCCAGCTGGGCAGTGTGTCCATAGAGGCCACATAAGACAGGCACGTTGGGGCACTCCCCCACAGCGCAGGGTGTGCAAAAACCACCAAGAGTCACGTTGATCCAGGCAAGAGAAGTGCACGGGACCCCCTGAAACAGAACAAAACAAACAGAAAACTTCCTGCCCCAAGTGCCACCCAGGTAGGAATTCCCTAAGTTATCGCAGCCATGAGAGCTCTCCTTCCACATGCTGGTCAAGCTCAGAACGGCTAAGTCCCTCCCTGTCTTTAAAACAGACCGTTCTGAGGCTCAACTTTTTTTCTTCAAAATAAAAGTTGTACAGCTGGTTCAGCAGTCCCATGTGAGTACCCTCTGAAAGTTTCTTCTCTTAAAATAAGAACTGTATACAAATTAATGAAGAAAGATAGGCTCGGGTTGCATGGCTGGCTCTGTTTCAGATTATAATTATTTTACAATTTTGCTTTTATTCATGCTGGACAAAGTGTGGAGACGACTCATCATTTTTAGCACTTATAACCTAATAACCTCCCCTTGGCTGAATTTGAAGATGCCATTTCAACTGATAGAAGCCCATGTGAAACTGACCAGAGCTACAAAAGTTAGAAAAACAAAAATTGCTAATTTCTGCTTGTGACATTATACCCAGATGTCTGTACCCAAATGTGGCTTTCCAACTAAAAGGAAACATCTCTTGGAAAAAAAAATAGATGGAAATACACACACATCCACATATTTTTTAATAAAAGCCCCTCCAAAGTGCCCAGGAGCCTATGGTTTATATATTATATGATGAAATTTGAATTTATAAAAGTAAAAAGAAAGAAAAGCAAGTATAAAAGAATTTGTGAACAGCTGAAAATAAATGACATTAAAAATTGTTTTCTTTTAGAAGACAGGCTTACACTGCAGTAACTCTTATTCAAGTTACAGCTAAAGAGAATACTTATGTTTTAGTGTAACTTGTTTTGGAGACCTTCCTGTATCTGAATCATTAACAAGTTCCTATTAAATCAATAATGTCATAAGATTCCAGGTCAGAGATTTGTAATACTCTAAATCATTTCAAAGCCTGATTAGAATGTTTTTAATATGTACATGTAATAAAAGGAGAGAAATGAGTAATATGCATGCCTTCAGTTGAATGATCCATAATAATAAACATCAAATGTCACGAAGCGAGGATAAAATCTGTAGTACTGACACTCTCCAAATACTTCCAGGGAGCAAAATCACCTTTTTCTTTTCCTCCCTGAGCAGTGATAAGGAAGGAGAAGAGAGTTACAAGGAAATCACTGATTTTATTGAGCTGCTCTAATCCATACTAGGAAATGTAATCAGTCTGAGAGCATTGAAGTAAAAATAAAATAAAAGGGTTCTAGTCCTAGTTCTATATTGTGGGCAAATTTCTTGACCTATGTGAGCCCATTTTCTTGTTTCTAAAATGAAGTTGTAATATTAATTGAATTCTATATTTCTTTCCAGCCTTAATGGTACTATCACATTATTTCTAAATATGATTAGTCTGCTTCTTGCAAAGAAAGTATAATAGAAGTTACGATGCCTGATATCCAAAAACTACACACTTACCATATACAGTTATAAATAAATAAGGAAGCTATAAATAAAAAGATGATTTTATATTACATATAACATATTTATGTAGATACTACATAATTATATAGTTATATACAGTAACATCTATGTCATTGTTCTCTTTATGATCAATAAGTATCCAAAGATAAATTCACGTGTGCTATATAGCAGTTAAATATACAGACCATCTATAAACAAACATGGATGCAGACCTTTGAAGCAGATGCTTTATTATTACCATATGCTTTGGCTTTCTTTGTACATAGGAAAGCCCCTAAGTAATAACACATTGTACAGGTCTTCTGGAAGGGTTTTTGCATTTGTAGGTAGCATTCAATTTCTGTAGTCATAGTTTACCTATCTTATTAATACAGCATAAATATTCCTCCTGAGGGACAATTCAAGAAAATAATAAGCCCATCAACCTTTAAAAATTAACTTTCATTTTGTCTTCTTTTGAATTAGAAATGTGAGACAATTTCTACATGAACACAATGGAAGGAACTCAACCAAATACTAATAAACATGTAGCCACAGTGCTGTTCAAACAGCAAGCAAGTATAAAATCTAACCTGAAGCACAAAGCCTTGATTACCAACTGAAGAAACTGAAAGTTGTTAATCATGGGAAATCCATAACATCCCTTGTTACCTTAGGTTTATATTCTCTTTTTTCCCCTGTGACCCCTGTGATTAAGGTAGAAAGTTTAGATTCACTTTATGGTAAGCACTATATTTAAAACCAATCTTAAATCCTATAGAGCATTCAGATGATGTCAGTAAATTAAATATTAACTGGGCACAAAGAAAAATATGTTATTTCTTAAATGTTTTTATTAGCTTTTTCTTAAGAAGCATTTAAATTTAACACTGGAAAAAAGTTGGCTTTATCAATTTATTCAACTTTAATGTAGTATTCAATAAGAAAAAAGATTTCATGATTATTAATTAAATTACAAAAATATATTCCTTACATTAACACAATTATAGTGTGCAAAATACTAAAATACATGGCATAAATTAAAAGGCCAAGTCTCTTATACAATAGATTATAATTTATTATGAATAGTTTTCTTCCTGGGGTGGGGGGTCAGAAATGGTGTTTTTATTTTTCCTTTTGTAGAAAAACAAAGTCAGGCTGACTTTGTCTAAACATTCACACACACACTACCCAACACAGTACTGCTGGAAACTGTCATAACTGGTGCTCAATAAATATGTTAATTTGCTAAAACACTCAGCTGAAACACACCAAGAATTCCATCTAACTAACTCATTTTGTATGACAAAATACATAGATCAACTCATATGACTTTTCCAACCAAAAGGACACTAAGAGTGTCATGGTATTTTTTGTAAGCATCATGGAAAAAAGGTAAGGTTTTCTTTTCCTTATTTTCTTCATTGTTATGGTCTGGTCATGTTTGTAATACACAAGTGCCAAAGCATGCAATGGCAAAAAGGTCATTTGATATTATGCCAGCCCAAGCACTGGAAAACGCATGTGTCTGCAGGTTCTCAGTTTAACCATTTAAGTCTAGTCAAATAGCACGTGAGACCCCATGTGTGTTCTTTCTGTTACACAACATTTAATTAAACACAATGTTACTGGTTATATATTTTAATGAGCTTTAAATTAAATGTAGGAGGGAAGACAAAATGCAATAAAGAAAGGATTAGATGGCATTTTAAGTTTTATCATGATATACATACGATATTATCTTAATTAAAAAAGACAACACTGCTTCTTTTCCTCTTGCTTCTCTACCATCCACCAACATTAAAGCTAGCCTTGTGTATGCTCATAGTACCTCATACACCTAAACTCTTTTAGTTGTTTCCAATCTTTTCTCTCTTTTTTTGGCATACCATACATGAAACATGAAGAGTGCATGTGATTCTCCCCCAAGAAAAGTTCCAAGGTCTTGCTAAAACCATGAAAAGTAAAACATGTGCATTAAATACAAGCACTACTAAAATTTTCATTTGTCATGACTAGAAATATCATGCCAGTAAAGTGGAACACAACTTGGTCAACTATACCGTAAGATAAATGGCAGGGTGTAAATTATTCCTTATAAACTAGCCATAACTCTACCCCATTACTGCTAGAGGAAAAACTACTTCATATAAGTGAGTGAGAGTAGAAGCATTTTCAAGATAATTTAAATCTGATTTATCCTTCCAAGGTAAGTCATTCACAACTTTCAGCATTTTGTTCATTTTTTATAACACATTTCTTGCTACAAGTTTCACAACTAAGAAGCTAGCAGACACAGGAAAGAGCTGGGATTTGAACTCAGATGTCTCATTCCTGAGCCCAAGCTTTTACTTCTTACTAAGTTAGGCTGTCATTCTGGCAAGCACTCTGCCTCTAAGGTCACTCAGGCTCTTTCTGGGCTGTATTTAACATTCTATTGGGGAAAAGGAGAAACAACCAACCACTAGAAAGAGTGTCTATTCTTCTTTATAACATTGTCAATTATGTTCCAATACCTATAAACATCACCCCTAGAAACTTCTCCAAAGGGCCCTGATTCGCTTGATATCAAGGTGAATTGAATAGGCTTACAGATTATCTCCTACTAAGATATGAATGAAAGTTCTGTTCTATTGTAAAGATCCCTAGACTAATGTCAAAGAACACATATTTAAACCCCAGCTTTAGCAGCAAGTTTCACTTCAACTCCCTTTATGTCAGTTTCCTCATTAGTCAAACTAAGAGGTTGAACCAGATGACCTCTAAGATCCTTTCCAGCTCTAAAATTCTGCCTCTCTGACTAACTCGATGATAAAATGTCAAGCTATTTAAATTTAGTGTCCAACCAAGAATAAACTCTGTAGTCATTTTTAACTTTCCTTAACCACAAGGTCACGCATACCATGAAATACTTTTCATCCCCATTGATGTAGGATTAAAAACACAGCACACTACTCATGTGAAAATAAATTATAGCATATTTTTTTTTAATTGAGCTGTTGTTTGTTGTTGTTTTCCTTATAGCTTCAACTTAGAACTACCCTCACTAAGCTCTGGAAAGGCAGGGATTCGTGTGTGATGTCTTCCCTGTGCATAGTTATATAAAAGACATTCAGTGGTTATTTATTAAGTGAATGAATACATGAACAAAGTGATCATTAATACTATCTCATTATCTTCTTATATAAATAAATATTCTTTTTCTAAAAACTCGGTCATATCTGGTAAATGTATAATCTTTCATATTTCTTCCAACCCATTGTTTTTCTTCAAGGTGGCACCTGAGTTTATAAGGAAGTGGGTTTCTATGACCTTGAGGTGGCAGGAAAGAGGTGGTCTCAGCCCCAAACCTGCAGGTCCCCAATCTCCTTTGTGTCCTCTGGTCTCTGCAACTACGCACCTTATTTGTCTTATAACTTGGTTCCCTGCACACACCTACAGCTAAAATCCATGTCTTCTCGATTAATTGCCTCAGTTTGGGAATCTTGGTCATTTGTCATGGATTGAGCCAATTTCAGCCTTCCTTGTTGCTTCAATGTCCTCTAAGTATCACCTACATCTTCCATCTGGATCTTTATTGAGGCTATAAAACATTTGGCATCTTTCTGGGACCCCCTAGCCTCTTGCTGTGGTCATGGCAGGCTCATGACAGATACACTGCCCCATTTCAGCTAGCTTTTGACATCCTCACAGGGCTGACAGAATTTCCTGAGCCTCCATCCCCTCCAGGCATTGAGGAAGACTTGGGATTGGCCACACCATGCCACCATTTTTACTGTTATAGCTAACTCACTAAATCACAGCAAAATCCACTCAGCTTTAGCTTTTCACTTTCAACCAAACCTGGTCCTCCTCTGGAATTTCAGCTTTTAGGAAAGAAGTCAAAATACTTTGGCCATTTGCACAAAACACCTTCCATTGGGGGCTCCCCTTTCTACACTTCTTCAGGGCATAAGAGATGCTTTCCCCATTTTACATGGCAGAAAATATCTTAGTTTATCTCCTGAGCAAATTTTGTCCATGGTGTATAACAGACCCAATTTCAAGTCCACAGGCCTTAATCTGGGAAATAATTTTTGGTGTGAACAAAGTCTGGCTTTCAGAAGCATTGTCTTAAAGGGGCTCAAAATTTCCATTTAGGTTTTCAAAAGTGCTTCACACCCATGCTTTTGGTCATACCCATCAACATGGAAGGGACAAACACATCATTCCCACAAATGACGAAGCTTTCTTACTCATTTCATTAGGTGCATAATGAGTACGCCATACCACAATATTCACATTCTGTCTGATCCATCCCTTATGTACTGTGCCTCTCATCTCAAGACCCTAACCTTTGGCTCATTCCCCACTAGCTGTGCTGGAATTTTGTGCCTTGAACACTTCACACTCTTATCCTGCCTCCTCTGTACATACTGTTCCTCTGTTTGACATGCTTTTCCTCCTGCACATTACTCAGATATCATTGTAGTGTCCCTCTTCTGAGATTTGACTATTTTGACAACCCTATTTGAATTTCATGTACCCGTACCTGCACTGTTTTTGCCTCCCACAGCAAGTATCATAATCTGTGTGCATCATAATCTGTTTAATTTTTTATTCACAAATGTATCTGTTCAATGTATAAATGAATCCATTCTGCAGGATGCAATAACTGAGGAAAAGGTCAGAACATGTAACTCATCCTGAGTACTACAAAAATAAAGCTAGTCAAGTTATACCAAAAATATATTTTTTCCTATACATGACTGCAAGACCCTAAAAACAGATTCACTGATCTCTTGCAATGCTTCAAAACATTTTCTAAAACTTACATTTTGTTTCATATTTGCCATTATACTTCTGCAAATCTGGAGCTTTATAGAAATGACAGCAAATACAATGATATCTTAGTCCATGCCATGCTGGCTATAACAGAATACTTGAGACTAGGTAATTTAAAAAGAACAGAAATTCATTGCCTCACAGTGATAGAAGCTGGGAAATCCAAGATCAAGGTGTCATCCTCTGGTTTGGTGAGGGCCTTTTTGCTACATCCTCAAATGGCAGAAGGCAGGAAGGAATTCTAATTGAAAATGAGCCCTTTTTTTCTGAAAGGGCCTTAATCCCATTAATATTCACATTAATGGGAATATTAATGATTAGGCCAGGAGGGAGCAGTCCTCCTGGCCTAATCACCTCTTAAAAGTCACCACCTCTTAATACTACCACACTGAAATCATCTGAATTACTAGATTCCCTTGACTTGTGTATCAGACTCAAAGTTCATTGGCCACAAATTCAATAACAAAATATACCAGAATTATTATTTTCCTAGATTAATGAATAATAAAGTTTAGATTTATAGTTTCTAATGACAAAGTAAAGTTGTTTCCCACATTGGCTAACTTCCTGTTCATTTAAATCCACCAGAAACAAGGCTTTCTACATCACAAAATAGAAGAAATTCCTCCTTGTCACTGAAGTGTAGAAGCAGGTCAGTTAAAGTTTGATTGGCTCCACTTAGCACTCTCACAAGTTCTGACAGCCTTAAGTGCTGCCAGTCAAATGACTTCCTATGAGTATTGTAACAAATAAAAATAAAATAAACTCTTACATAGTATTAAAAAAAAAAAAGAAAGAAAATATCAACAACAACCACAAAGGAAATAATTTAAAACAGAGTCTCATAGCCAAACATCCATTGCTCAGTGTGTAATCAAGCAAACCTATAAATCTACTATAAAAGAAAATGGCTTTTATATAGTAGGTAGTTAAAAGAACATTGCAAAAATAAGTCTTCTTAATATAAAATTATCTTGGGTCAGAGGTCTAAAAAGGAGATGACTGAACAGGGGCTCAAAGGATGAATAGATATTCAACAAGCAGGATAAGAAAAGCAAGCAGACTTTCATAAGCCCTGAGTACCATGCA